GGAGGAAAAGTCTGCGAAGCACGTACTGCGCCTGCTTGCTTGTTTTAACGGTGTTTACTAATTTTTTGATTGTTTGCTTGTTTTAATGGTGTTTACTAATTTTTTGTTTGCTTGCTTGTTTGTTTTAATGGTGTTTGCTTATTTTTTGCCTGAATTGCAGGCAATCTCATCCTTTCTGCACTGAATTGACGTAACCCTTCTCTCAGAATCAAAGCCTTCCCAAGAAGTGCTCAGTCACTTGCGTCGGGGGGAGGGGCCCTGTCCAGTTGTCTGAGATCCCAGGTGAGTTGCTCCCATGTTCGTTGCTTTCTGATGTGGACACGTGCCCCTCACACTGAGAGCTCATTTGTTTTTGCTCTTTGCTCCCCACTGCATCTTCAGCGTCTACCCAGTGTTTGGTGCGTAGCAGGTTCTCTGGAAATATTTGCTTCATGAATGAGATAATGAATCACTTCCTAGAAAATCTATCTTTTTTCACAGAAGTTGGAGATGAAGGAGGGAACAGTTAAATACAAAATACCTTTAGTAAAGGGGGAATGGGGCACAGCTACTCCTCTAGGAAAGGCTGTTACAAAGAATATTGATGCTTGGGAGAGAGATTGCATGTAGTGTTTGGTTTCATGTAAGTGGGTAATAGCTGACTGAAATGGTTAAGGATGTCCAAGATTAATTTTTTTTAAGTTCAGATAATTAACTTTATTATCTGAAATGAATTAAGACTTGAATGTAAGACCTGAGAATATAACATTCCTGGAAGAGTCCTGGCGGGGTAGCTCAGCTGGTTGGAGCGTTGTGGCCATATACCAAGGTTGTGGGTTCAATCCCTGGTGGGGCACATACAGGAAACAACCAGTGAATGTGTGGCTAGGTGGCGATGTCTTTCTCTCCCTTCCTCTCTCTCTCTAAAAATCAATAAATAAAAATGTTCAAAGAAACTCCGGTAAGAAAACAGGGGGAAAGCTCCTTCACATCGGTCTTGGCAATGATTTGTTTGGATAACACCAAAGCACAAGCAACACAAGCAACAATAAACAAGTGGGACTGCACCAAACTAAACAGCTGCACAATGCGGGGTCCAGAACGAGTCACCCCAAGCTATGCCTCTGTAGTAAACTGTTTTGAGCTAAAAGCAACTTTAGCTTCATGGTCAGGAGAAACATCTACCCTCTGCACCCCTTTAACTGCTTAGAAGAATTTGAATTAGGGGCCTTGCCCATAGAGATTATCAGTGGTAACCTTTTCAACTGACCTATATGGAAGGCAGACTTTTATTAACTAAACATCTGCTCTTCTTATCCTGGGATGACCCTTCGAAGCCCCCAAGGTGTGTTACCTCATTCCTAGCTCAGGACGTCATGTACCTCCATCCCCCTTTCTATCTCGGAACCTCTCCTACATGTGGGACCTCTGACTCTCTCATGAATGCGAGGTTCCCATACGTTTGTGTGTATTGAATTTGGTTATTTCCTCTTGCTAATCTGTCTCATGTCTATTTGATTACTAGATCAGGCAGAAGAACCTTGAGAAATTTTGTTCCTTTCCCACAATAGCAAAGGAGACAGTCAATAAAATGAAAGTGCAACCTACAGAAAGGGAAAGAATATTTGCAAACCGTATAGTTGTAAGAGGTTTCTCCTCCAAATATACATGAAACCCATACAACACAATTGTAAAAAAATAATAATCCAATTTTTTTAAATGGGCAAAGGACCTGAATAGTCGTACAAATTGCCAACAGGTACACCAAAAGGTGCTCAGCATCAGTCACCATCAGGGAGATGTAAATCACCTCACACCTGTTAGAACGGCTACCACCAAAAAGACAAGACATAACAAATCTGGGCGAAGATGCGGGTAAAGGAAACCCTAAGCACAGTTGGTGGGAATGTGAACTGGTACAGCCATGATGGAAGACAGCATGGAGGTGCCTCAAAAAGTTAAAAATAGAACCACCAGCCTGGCTGGTTTGGCTCACTGGATAGAGCATTGGCCTGGGGACTGAAGGGTCCCAGGTTCGATTCCGGTCAAGGGCATGTACCTTGGTTGCGGGCACACTTAACAAAATAGAACCACCATATGATCAATCACGCTTCTGGGTTTATATTTGAAGGAAATGAAATCACTATCATGAAGGGATATCTGCACCATGCTCACTGCAGCATTATTCACAAGAGCCAAGACATGGGTATATCAATGTTTTTAAAATGTTCGGCGCTAATGGGCTGCAATGTTTCTATGAACTTAGAAATTACAGAAAGTGACCCAAGTAGCCTTATCATGTTGGCGACTTGGGATCCGGGGATGTCAGAGAACAATGAGTACATGATCCATAAAGCTGTAAGAAACCAGAAGGAAGCAAACAATTACATTTGGGCCTTCCCTGCTATGACCCTGCCCCTCGATTACCCCACCCAGGCCACGAGGGCCCCCCGGCTGGTCTTCCTTGCACACAAGATTCCCTCTCCGCTCACCTCCTGGCACAGGCTGTTGCCTGTATCTGGAACTCTCTTCTCCCATTATCTACTAACTCCCTCATCTCCTTCAAGTCTTTGCTCAAATATGACCTTCTCCATGCATGTACCATGTTACCACTGTGCTTAAAATCGCAGCCCCAGGCCCTGGCTGGGTAGCTCAGTTGGTTAGAGCATCGTCCTGCTCTGCCAAGGTTCCGGGCTTCATCTCTGGTCAGGGCACATAAAAGAAGCAACCAATGAATGCATAAATAAGTGGAACAACAAATTGATGTTTCTCTTCCCTCCCCTTTCTCTCTCTCTCTCTCTCTCAAATCAATAAATACATTTTAAAGTTAAAAATAAATAAAAGATGTTTTAAAAATTGCAGCTCCAACCTTCCCCAGTTCCTCATGCTGCTGATCCCCCTTTACACTGTTCTACTTTTTCTACTTTTTTCATAGTATTTATCAATTTCCAGCATGCCATAGACTTTACTTATTTCTTATGTCTACTATTTATTGTTGGGGCCCCTGCCTTTCTTCCACTCCCCTCCCTGAACGCAGAATTCTTTGCTGTTTCCTATTGATTTATTTATTATTGTTTAAAGTATTACAAATAGTAGTACATATGTCTCCTTTTCCCCCCATTGACTTCTCCCAGGCCTCCCCCCACCCCACCCCGACACATGCCCATGTGTCTTTGTGTTTTATTGACTGGTACATGTTAGGCATTCAATGTTTGCTAAATGGTACATGGTAGGCATTGAATATTTGCTAAATGACTAAATTCATATAGTGTGGAGATTGGTGGAAAGTCCTTTGCCTGTTTGCTATTATCATTTTCAATGCTTTTCCACTTTAGTTAACTTTTTTTTAAAGTTTTATTGATTTCAGAGAGGACGGGAGAAGAAGAGAGTGATAGAAACATCAATGATGAGAGAGAATCATTGATCGGCTGCCTCCTGCACTCCCCATACTGAGTATCGAGCCTACAACCTGAACATATGCCCTGACCAGGAATGGAATCGTGACCTCCTGGTTCATAGGTCGACACTCAACCACTGAGCCACGCTGGCTGGGCTAGTTAGCTATTTAATGCCCCTTAAAAATGATAAAACATATAAGAGTGAAAGCTTCAATGAATGGGTTACTATGTTTGTAAAATACAATGAAAAAAATGTAATGTCTATTCCCCAGGAAACTGATTTAAGACTGACCACTTATTTTGGATAAGTAGACCTAGTTTCAAAGCAACTTCATTATGAAGCAATATCAGCTACCTCTTTAATACATTTTGCACAGGAAATTCAAATTATGTATACTCTCTTTTTCGTTGGGAGAGATAGACAAGTAATATCATCTCATTTTACTGTCAGGGAAAGTGATTTGCTTATCTAAGCTCATTCTCCTTGTCCAGGGGCAGAATCCAGAGTCCTGACTTTTACAACTCAGCTGGAAAAACACTGAGCAATGAATGCTTGCAGGCACTGGCTTATGTGAACTAGGGAGAAAAACAGGAATATCATCTGGTTCCTCAGTAATTCCTGTACTCCCTAAAATAACCAAATAATTAATAAATGGTGAAAAGACAAATTATTTCACCCAGTTTTCAGCCTACAGGGAAATGTGGAATGAAGGACCCATTGCTGGGATTGAGAAGTTGTCTTGGCATCCTCTAAGGCAGTGGTTCTCAACCTTCCTAATGCCGTGACCCTTTAATATAGTTCCTCATGTTGTGATGACCCCCAACCATAAAATTATATTTGTTGCTACTTCATAACATAATTTTGCTACTGTTATGAATCATAATGTAAATATCTGATATGCGGGATGTATTTTCATTGTTACAAATTGAACATAATGAAAGCATAGTAATTAGTCACAAAACCAATATGTAATTATATATGTGTTTTCCGATGGTCTTAGGCCACCCCTGTGAAAGGGTCGTTTGACCCCAAAGGGGTCGCGACCCACAGATTGGCGACCCACAGATTGAGAACCGCTGCTCTAGGGTAAATTAGAAAGGTCCTTAGTGGCTGGTGCTGTTCTTGCCTCGTTGTTCCCTCCAGGCTGGCACACAGAAGTCACAGAGTGCTGGGGATGAATCACTGTGTGGCTGGGGACCAATTACGAAAACATGACCTCTCCTCTGGAGAGGGAACCTGGCAATCAATTTACATGAATGGATCATCTGCAATAAATGACTAACCTATGGGTGTTGAAAGGAGTTACCCACAGGCATGGCCTTTGTCTCTTAAGAAAATGCTGTAAATCTTAAGACTTTGAGTCATGAAGCCACATAGGCAGGAGTGGCACCACTGCTCTTAGTGGATTAGCTGCTGGTAAATAAGAAAAAGGGATAGCCAATGGGCTGTTATGAAGTTGACGGGTGAGTCACCCCCTTATCTTTCTCTCTGGTAATCTTCGGTGATTTCAGGAATAGGTAAAGCTCATGCTCTTATTCACTTACGCCCGGGCTCACCTACACCTTGTACATAATGTGGTCAGACATATGTTTGGCTTCACTTCCTTACTTGCACATCCCATGTATCCTTGAGTGCCAACTTCATGCCCCTTAAAGCTAACAGGATTTTGCTGTGATCAGGGTGTACATGGGAATTTAAATTTGTACCCATGCAATAAATGGCTCATTAGTACCCAACCCGAAGTCTATATAAACTCTTCCAAGATAATGTAAAAAGCAATCTAATAAAAATGATACAAATATTGTCAAGTAACTTTTATGTATGAACTACTTTGCTATTGAAAGTAAGGGACCAGGTCCAGCTGGTGTGGCTCAGTAGTCGAGCATTGACTATGAACCAGGAGGTCAGAGTCCGATTCCTGGTCAGGGCACATACCCAGGTTGTGGGCTTAGTCCCCAGTGTGGTGCGTGCAGGAGGCAGCTGATCAATGATTCTCTCTTATCATTGATGTTTCTATCTCTCTCTCCTTTTCCCTTCCTCTCTGAAATAAAAAATTAAAAAATAAAATAAGGGACCAGTGCAGTATTAGCCCTCAAGCAACAGGATGGCTGATTTCTACTAATACAGAGATTTGGGGACCCTGATAAAAATCCAGAACCATATGAGAGGCATCTCTCCAGGACCAGGAAGAGGAAGTTTGAGGGAGTTGGTGGCAATGCCAGAAGGTCGATCTGGATGAGTGGAACTTGGGTTAGAGTGAGCCAGGAGCAAGTAGGAAATGAAAATACTAATAAAAGCAAAGAAAGGGTTTTCAAGGATGATTTAAAAAGAGAAAGAAAAAAATTGGAGGAGAGAGAAGAGCCAATATTTTTTTTTCTTTTGCAAGGCAAATATTTTTACTTCTGCAGAAAGGTATGTACCAACTCAGAGTCTGGCAGCACATAGACTGAGTGGGTGGTCTGGGCTGGTTTTATTCTGATGCATGTGATCTGTCCTTCACTCTTGATTGGTCACAGAGCTTAGGCTCACACTCTTACGTGATTGGCTAATTTAAAGAAAGGGGTTGGCCTTTGCTGTTTCAAAATGGCAGCCCGCAGGGTTGCTGCAAGTCATGCAAGCCAAAATGGCAGCTGCCTAAACTCCCTGCTTTGACAGAAAAGATTACTTGTTTATTCTCACAATTCCCCCCTTATTTAACTCTTTTTTTCAAACTTGGTTAACATTCGTTGACTTTCATGCTCTGCAGTGTCCTAGACTCTAGGAGAAGATTATTTTGCTGTTTGGTCAATGCGGTTTCAATTAACCTTTGGATAAGACCTCTTATACACGGGATGATATAATATCCACTGCTGTCATTCCTTTCCATTCTCCGGACCATTGCTAAATCGGAGAAAGGACCCTCAATTCCAGGATTCTCAGCTGACTCATTGGCTAAAGTTGTTAATCCCTGTTGGGCCTTAGTGATGGTTTTGTCTGGAGCTGTGTTGTCAGGGATGAATGTACAACACTGGTCCTCAAAATTACACAAACTCCAGAATCATATCCAAGGCCTACCTATTCTCCCACATCATCCTCTGCTGGCATCTAGCTGCTCTCTGTCCCTTTAACCGCATCTCAAGTATAGTTAACAAGCCTTTGCTGGTCCTAGTAAATATAATTAATCCAACCACGTTCTTGTTTACAGTGGACTACCAGAGCAGAACAATCTGATTTCTAGCCTTGAACTCCTTGGCACTCCTCCTGGAACCCTAATGGGATCTATGTACATATGGGGATCAAGGGAGCCCCTTGAACTCTCTCTCCTCTTCCTAGTCTGTCTGTCCATTGAAAAAGGTTTACGATATGCCAACGTGAAAGGGATAGCCAATTACATCAGAGCACAAGTCCCACTCCATTTGCTGGGCAAGGCTCAAGTAAGGGTCCCCCATAACACCACCAGACATCAGCACAGGGCATCGACAGTGCAGCATGATTGGCTTCTGAGGATACTCGGCCATTTACACATCCGGATAAATGTCTCATAAACTCTGAGCACTGCTCCTCCCCTTGAGAGGCAGAAGGTATAGTTTACGTCAGAGGGCAGGGCCCGATTGGGGCCTGATCGTTTGGGGGAATCCCTGCTCTTTACCTCTGTTGGATGGGAACAACAGGGAGAGAGTCTTACAGGCAGCGTTTCCCCAAGCGGTTTCCTCCTGATACAGGGCAAGCACACATTCCACCCTGTTAGTGGCTGAGGTCCATCCGAATGGGGATGGGACCACTTGGGCCTCTAGCCTTCCTGCTGCTCAAGCGTAACAGTCGCTTTTATTTAGGGCTCATACAGAATATTTAATCCATTCCACCCAGGCATTCGTTCCCTTATATCCTACTACTGTTTGCATGGTGATGGCAGTGGCCTAGGGGATCTTGTCTTGTGACATCTATTCCTAAATCTAGTCCTAGCCAATTTTTTGGCCTAAAGGCCGAAATATCCAAGTCATTCAAGTTATCTATGATCAATAACTTAACTGGGTAAGCACG